GGGCAGCGAGGAAGCCGCCGGCCAGGCGTGCCGCTCCGCGCCGCACTCCCCGCTTCCCGCGCGCTGCTTTGGACAGCGCCGGTTCCCTTACCTTGTACTCCTCCATATCCACATCGTCGGGACCAATTTCTCTCAGCTTTGCTCGTGCTACCTTCATAATGCTAATTGACCTGCTCCGTGTAAGCAGAGACGGAGAAAATGAGAACAATGGCTGCTTCCAGACGAGAACAGCCTCGGCGCGGAATCCACGGCACAAACCTTTCATCGTAGCTGAGGTTTTTGTCCGCAAACTGCTCGAGAAGGGTCCGCTCCACCACCTGCTGGGGAGCGTTGTTTTGCAGGAAGTAAATGAGCACGTGCTGCAAGCGGGCGTCGTTCTGAGGGGTCGGGGTCTCTTTGGCAAGCAGGTAGAGCCGGGAGTACTCCTCGTGGAAGGCCTGCCAACGAAACACACGTACGCACTAACGCGCCCACTTCCCTGGGCGACACCTCCCCTCCGCTGCTCGGCTCTAGCCTAGCGGCGAACGGAAGCCCACGAGCGCCTGGAGCTACAAGCAAAAGGCATCCACACCAAGGCGAACCACGGGCGTGAAGCGTGCGGTTTCCCAACGCGCCGAGGCGTCCAACCGCCCTTCGGAGAGGGGGCACAGCGCTGCCTGCAGCAGTTTCAGCAAGTGCCCAGGTTGTAAAAACCAACTCTATGTGACCCTTCCATCGGCAGCAAGGTGCAAGAGCGCCTCGCCATTTCTATTCCTGTGGATTAACAGCCAGGGCGATTTCTGCCCTGCGGCACCTTTAGTTAAATCCAATTTTAGTTTAGTCTGCAGAACCTAACGCCAGCTTCGGTACCCGGCAGCGCTTACTCGTTCGGATCCCTCTGTTCAACGCATGCGTTTCTCGAGGACACGTTTTACAAGAGAGGTCACAGTAAGCGTGCGTGTTCAGGACCGAAACCCAAATAATTCGGTGCGTGCTGGTTTATTTTCTGACCGCCACGCTGAGGACCTAGACGAGAGATGCTGAAAGGCACGCAAAGGAAGTCTGCTGCTTATAATCCAGACCAAGAGAATCACCGGTGCTAAAGGGCTAAGCGAAATAGGGGAAAGTGAAAAAAACCCACAACAATCGTTGTTTCCCCTGAGGGGAGGGAGCTCTTACAGGCTCTAACAACTGTTTAGAACGGAAGGACCTGCTGGCACAGTCAGCGAGCCGAAAGAGAAATGCGGGGCAGAGCGCCGTTCGCTAAAGCCGCACGAATCGTGCCCTCCAGAGTCTGGCTCTGCCAGCACAGCACAGATTCTTCCCTCTGAAAACAGAAATCCATACTCGTGGGTGTAGCAAGCAAACAAGATACCTTAACAAGCCCTGCTTCAGACCCGTCTCGATCAAAGGTCTGGCGGGCTTTTGCAATAGCCAGGATGACACCTTGCATGGCCGGACTCAGCATCACCTACCACGGAAGCAGGAAAACAAACACAAACAGGAACGAGGAGAACGGTAACGGACAGGGAAAGAAGAGACAGCATGGTGAAGAAGGGAGCAAAATTTCATAAGATCTGGTTTACGAGGAATCGTACGAGCACGGGTGGAATGAGCCGCAGCTGTGATGTACTTGTACGCTGCTTACTCCATCCGTCACAGGCACTTGGCATGCAAGGGGTTTTGAGCACTCAACGGTCTAACGGCCGGTCACTGCAAGCCCCGAGTTTTTAAACTCAAGAGGCGAGAATATAAAGCACCCCAGCCGCATCCCCTCCGTGCCCCATGCAAGCTTCTCAAGCCACGCGTGCAGGAGCCTGACAGCAGAGCGTTTCGTTGTACCCACTTCATACAAGCCCACATTAAACGTTCTCAAGGGGCAACGGCCTCGGTGTTTATGTGAAATCCAACTGCACGTGCGACAAAGACTGAACTTCCAAAGCGCTGCTTGAGCACGGTTAAGTGGTCAGACTCAAAAAACCCAGCGGCTGTTAGGGGTTAGCGTTCTCCGAGGGAGGGGGCGGAACTCGCACTGAAGGGAGGGAAGAGGCTGCTAAATAAATTAATACCACGAGGATCAATTTTGGCACAGCTGTGCCAGACAGACGACTTAACGGATCAACGTGCAGATCTACGGATCGGGTGCTGTTACGGAGCTGCTTTTCTGATGGCTTTCAGAGAGGAAATTACGGCAAGATTTGGTCTGGCCGCCTGCACGCCCACGCTGGGCAGACGTACGTCGTGGACAGCACTGTTCCCATGACTGACTGCTGTCGTACCCCCTCTTCGGAAAGCTCAAAGCCAGCTAAGGACAAAGTTAGGGGCTCCCGATCGGCAGCGATTAACCCCTGCACCGGGATCTGTACCTCCTCATTATATCCGTCTGCATCGGATCTAACGGGAATCTTCCCCACACTGGGGATTTCCACTTCAGAGACCTGGGAGCTAGTTTGGGCAGCAGCCTCGGTTTCCTTAGCGTCCCGCGGTTGCTCTGCCTGATCTGTAAATGCTGTTTCTCCGGGCTGGGCCTTCCTTGGCTCTACCTCCTTGGGCTGTGGCCAATTAGAAAAAGAAGAAAAGGAGTAAGAAAAACCAAAGCAAACTACAGGAAAGCGAAAGGGGACAGAGTTAAAGGCGGCACAGCTACGGAGTAACGCAGGAACGGAGAGAGGAAGGTCTGTCAAGAGGAGTCATACAAAGGCAAGGGCGGGTTGCTCGCCGGGCCGGGGCTCAGCTCCTACCTCGCAGAGAGCTGCCTCGACGCCGTTCTTTTCGTAGGCGTCGGCGGTGTTTGCGATGGCCTTGGCCGTCTGCTCCTTGGCAATCATGGCGTGTTCAGAGGACAGAGAGCGCACGCTCTGCTCGCAGACCGAGGACCGATCTGTCAGGACAGAGGGGTGACAGTAGTGAGCACGAGCTGCAGGGCTTCTCCTCCTCTCCGGTTCTAAAACGTTTTGTCGCTTGTCCGCGCGGGATTACACAGCTGCTGCGTTCGTCCCTGGGGTGACGGCGTTTCGCCGCGAGCTCGTGCGTGCCCCTTTTCAGCGGGTACGGCACGCGTCATCGGGGCTGGCCAGGCCACGCTCTCCCCCCACGCCAGAGAGCAGCGCTTGAACGTTTTCTACTGGATGCTTATTATAACAAAACAAAACAAAAAATTCTGGAAGTGAAACAAGATCAGCCCAATTCGATTGAAGGACTGGAAACCAGCATTTCTGGTGACACGCCTGGAAGGCTGCGCAGGCAAGAAGCCAGCAGAAGAGCCTTTCGTATCGCCAGGGCAGAGCCTCCACCAGCTGCCTTTGCTACCCCGTCAACATCTTCCTCTGGATATCTAGAAATCCATGCAAGGCTCCAACACAGCCGTACTTTGGACCAGCTGGGCGTTACTGGTTTCAAGAGGGTTCGCAAGTTCAGACGTGGCGTTACCTGGTCCCGACTCAGAAGAGAGGTCCTGCGATTCAGAAGCAGGCGAAGGCTCCATCTGAGGAATCTTGCAAGACTGCTCCTCCTCCCACTCCTCTGCCTCCTGCTCGAGGCGCCAGTTGTCCTCCTGGATGTAGTGCCTCAGCTCCGGGGGCAAGGCTTCAACTTCCTTCTGAAACTGCCCAGCCTCCGAGCCATCACCCTCGTCTGGAAGAAACGCAGCAAGTAACGGACCACGCAGCAGCAGCAGGACACCGCCATTCGGAGACCAAACAGATAGGCAGCGTTACGGAAAGCCAGGATCAAACTGGCTGAGGGGTAAATGGGAGAGAGACCCAACTTCCTACTAGCTTTGTCATGTCAGGCGATGCATAAGCGAAAGTGCAAAAAACGACAAATCTACAGCGTTATCCCAAAGAAAAGCGGTTTTGTTCCACCACTGGATGGCATTTGTCACAGAGAAATTCCAGAAACAGCGCCTGCTGATGCAGGAGGTCAGAAATACATCCTTACTCAAGGGCTACCGTTGTGCCGAGCGTGGCATTTACCCTGCTGACAGCCAGAAGTTGCACGATTTGGCTGGAGACATCACGTCTGCGACGCTACATAGCACGTAAAGGTAGGGAACTGCACGGACTCCACAGCACGAGCGTCACGCTGGTATTTCGCAGCGCTTTTTAGATCTGCCTCGGTGTTCAGTTATAAAACAGCACAAACCCCAAGTGGCATCAGCTTGAGACAAATTGTCTGCACCAGATATTTCTTACGCACCCATTGTAAAAGCAAAGCGTCTTTAAAAAAAACCCCAAAATCGCAGTAAATGGGGGGGGACTCATGGGTTCATTTCAGAAACAGAACTGTCATAGGAAGAGAGACAAAGACCAACCTCCCGATCCTCATCAGCCAGATTTAGCAATGAACAGAGTGACAGTTCTCCATTGTTTCTGTCTATTTATTACATCAAAACGAACCACGCGTGAAATTATTAGGTTCTTCTACAGCTGCTTGCCATGTATAGTGCCACGTGCACGATCATTTCTGCACAGAACTATTTATACATTGGCACTGCAAACACACTTGCAAGTCAAAGCCACTGTGACCAGTAACTCACGCACTAGGGAAGGCTGCATAAAATAAGAGAGCGCCACGTTGAGGTTCAATGTAACCCTATCACTAAGAAACAAGCCAACGAGTCAGAAAGTGCGATAAAAACGGGAGAAAAAGGAGATGTTTCATGTGCCCTTCCGTAAGAAATGCTGCCCTATGAACTATAGAAGGAGCCAAGGTAAAGACGCCAGCAGATGCATGCTGGAAGGGGCAAATGGGGAGCTCGAGATTTTATACACATTAGTAATACAGAAAGTGCTGACCTAATCTCACCAGCACTGTCCTTTCTTCAGCTTTCAACCCTATCGGGGATTTAGAAAGGAAGCGAGTACAGAGCAAATGATTTCACTTCTACCTTGGGGGAAGTTTTTTGCGTTGTCCCAAGACAACGGTGCCAGAGAGAAGCTGAGGAGCGCAACGGCCACGCAGGCTAGAGAGACGAGAGAACACGCAAGCGTCTCGTTAAGCGGCGGCTTTGGCTCCCGTACCTGCAACGAAGCGGGACACCTTGTCGCTTATGTACATCAGGCAGTAGGCACTGGCGTTCTTCAAGCCTCCGAAAGAATCTCTCTCCAGTTCCTCCCACGACGACTCTGTCACTGAGATGTCGTTGTATTTCAGCCAGCTTTTTCGAGGCTGGTCGTATATGTAGGCCCAGTAGTGACCGGCGTTTGCTTGCCCTTCGTGTACCAAGACTGCGTGCAAACGATAGGGAACCTGCAAGTTCGCACGGACAGAGTTTTCAGATGTGCTTCCACTTAATTAATCTGCCGGACCTCTGTCCAAAAACTGCAAACACTTTCATAGCCGTAGCCCGGTACAAGCCTCTCGATTCAGACAGTACGTTTCCTAGCGAGCGAGGGCTGACTTTTAAGGGAAAAAGCAACAAGATTTTCCTAAAGAATCCTTTCCCCGCTTCATCATAATATTGGGATTTTTTAAAAACTCAGCGAAGCGGACAACTTAAACCGACAGCTACTCACAAAAACCAGTAGCAGCAACAGCAGTTTAACGTTTACCTGACCAAGCTGCATTTCCTACCTGCTGGAGGAGAGGGTCGCAGTAGATTTGCTCGATGGACAGGTTGATTCTGGTAATAGACTCCTTCAGATCTGCCAAGAACATGACGAATGAGAGAAATACGTAAAAAGGAATGACTATTCAGCAGGCTGTTCCGGCCCCTTTTGCTTCAAAAAACGCGAAGCCACGCAAGCAACTATCGAATACATTAACGCCAGGGCTGGCGCCTGCACGGGATCAGGTGCGGAGCAGGACGCATCCAGGGGAAGCACCAGAGGGGACGTCAGGCTGGCAGGCAACAGAAAAACCACAGAAACATATCGGGGGCCAACCTCGCACGTCTTGCTCAATCTCGTTTCTCCATCGCTGCAGACACGTCCGCACAAGGTGCAGCTCTTCCTCGGAAACCACATGAGGAGCTGGACATTCCGACGTTTCGGCTGCCGAACCGGACGGCTGGAGCGGCGCTCTCCGTTTTTGCTGCGGTGAGGGATTTGCCAGAAAGCAAGCTGCGTCTTCCACCCCAGCGTCCTTCCCTTCTAGCATGCTGCGAAGCAAAATCCAGGAGTCAGGGGTCAGGTTTTTCAACCTTCCTCTTGTTTTTTCTCTTTTCGGAGAACAGGAGGGAATAAACCCAACAAAAATTGCTCCAGAGCCAGAGCAGGATTTCCCTTCCAGGATGGTACAGAAGGTAAAGAGATCAAGTAGATTGAAACGTCCCTTAACAGACCTAACTACAATATAGGACGAATAAAAGCTAAAACTCTTACAGAACTCTGGAAGCACAGATCCACAAGGAGGATTCTAAAAATTCCTTCCCTTACTACTAAGGAACTCATGTATTGGCTCAGCTTAATTTAAAATGTAAACCAACCATGCTGGCCAGGTTTGTAATAATCCGATATCGCAGTAATTTACCAGTCGATGAAGCAAAAAAATTAGTAGCCTAACCAAAAAGAGCGCATAATTTAACTCGGGATTGCTGCCTAGACAAGGAACGTGGTGATGCTTTTGGAAAAGGAAAAGGAACAGCCCGGATGCAGTGTCGTATTTACACAAACAGAACCAAGTTCCGAGCAAAGCAGCCGCTGACTGCTCGCGCAGGCATTCCCCCATTACAGCATCACGCTCACGAGTGCTGGGCTAAATAATCCGCTTTTAGAACCATGGAATCATCGTTTAGTTTGGAACAGACCTTTAAGATCATCAAGTCCAACTGCTAACCTAGCGCTGCCAAGGCCACCGCTAAACCCTGTCCCTCAGCACCGCCTCCGCCCGGCTGTTAAATCCCCCCAGGGGCGGGGACTGGACCCCTTCCCCAGGCAGCCCCTTCCAGCGCCTCCAGGCTGAACCCCCCCAGCCGCTCCCCAGCAGCCTGGGGCTCCAGACCCCTCCCCAGCTCCGCTGCCCTTCTCTGGGCACGCTCCGGCCCCTCCATGTCTTTCTTGTAGCGAGGGGCCCAAATTTTAGAACGCACATCAGGAGCATTTAGGTGAAAGGCAAAGTGTTCTCCTACAAATGACTCGTATTTCTGTTTACTAACCCATTCGGCTGTGACAGTGCGTCCAGAACACGAGGCTCGGCTTGGGGCTGCAGGAGTGCTGTCTGAGAGCCCTGAGCAGGAGCAACAACTGCAGCTGGCTTCGTAGCGATGAATTCGAGAACGTACTGGAGCATGTCGGGCAGTGGAAAGCGGGCTGGGCCGGAGCCGTATTTCATGTACCTACGGAAAAAAGCAAGACGTTGCATGAGCAAAGGAACGCGACTGTTTGGTTAAACCCAAGGGACAACAGAAGAGCAACCAGGAAGAAAACTTCCCGAGCGGGACTGGAGAGCTGAACCAGCAAAGGAAGGAAAGGACAAACCCAGGTGAGGCACAGGGACGGGCTCACCACCTCCCAGCGGCAGACCTGGAAAGCCTCGGGGCTGCGGGGCCAGCCGAAACACCGGTGTGCTGTCAGCACCGCGTCAGTCACGAAACCAAACCGGCTGCCGTGGAGACAATTAACTCCATCCCAGCTACGCGCGGGCCCAAACCTAAACCGTCTTCGTGACGCCCACCACCGGAACCTCACCGCGCAGACACCACCAGGGCTACGGCGACACAGCGCACCCCCCTGCCTGCCACTTGTCCACAGAACTGCCACGTTAAGAACAAAAACCGTAAGCGCGTTTAATGCTGGATAAAAGGACTTTTACACAAAGCACCTGGGAAACGCAATCTTTTGGTTGTCCGCAAACCGGACCTTTGCTGTCGACATCCTTCCTTCCCCAATAAGTATAATATGCCAAAAATAATGCCAAAATACATAAATATAATACGCCAAAAATAATGCCAAAATACATAAATATAATATGCCAAAAATAATGCCAAAATATATAAATGTAATATGCCAAAAATAATGCCAAATCCTAAGCTGGAGGGGACCTCTGATAGGAAAAATAACGCAGCTCTTTTTTAACGTATCGCTGGGCTTCCTCGCTGGAACGTGCCCACATAGCTGGCGGTGACGACTGTACTGTTTAAGGAATTTATTCTTGTAATGGCCTCAGTAATAGTCAGAAACCGCCAAAGCCGCGGTTTTTTGAAAAGACGCTGCCTCCCTTCGCGCTTCTCAGAACAAACCCGGTTCTGTTTGCCCTTCCTCTACAAGCTCCTCTTCTAATGGAAGGCTCGCCTGAAGGGAAGCACTTGCACGCTCCCAAGGGCACAAAAATAAAGCCAGCGGACGGCTTACCTTTCCAGTTTCTGCTGCAGAATCACCATTTGCTCCTTCAATCTCTTCATTTCTTCTCTCTTCATCTGAATAAGCTCTTTGCTGCAGTAGAGGTACCTGAACAGGGAAATACAGAGCCCCGCCACGTGAGATCCCTTTACTTTTCACACCCACAATCTCCCACAAACATTTTAGACTCCTTCCTTGCTCGCCCATCCAACCTTTCTCATTTCTTTAAGCGCCATAACGCAATAGCTGTAAGTGTACCCCAGAACAACTCACCTGTCCATATAAATAGTCTGGGGGAACTCTAGCTTGGTGTGAATCTTCTCCGGCTGTCCCAGCGACTGATTGAACTCAAATCGGGAGAGTTCAAAGGTCAGCACCGGTGGGAGTTTGGTAAACCAGCGCTGTAACAGAAGCAGAAACGCCCCCAAAGGGACTCGTTTGAAGAGGACTGCTGAACGGCACGGTTCAGACCGCCCCTAAATGATTTTAGGCTGGTCCTAAGCGTCTGGTTGCCTTTAGGTACCCATGTAGTACACACCGAGTTCACGGAGTGACTAGTCAGAAAGCCAAATCTTATGAGATTCAAATCTCCGCTTCACGTCTTTGCCGTGAAAAAACCTCACGATAGCTTTCAGCAAGTGACTTTTCACTGCCCGATGCAGCCAGCTTGACGGATCGTTAGCGAGTCCAGCACTGAATTTTACAAAATTAGCAGGCGCTACACAAACTCTGGCTGTCAGCGGAGAGCCTCCAAGAGAGCTCTCGTCTAGCGCAGATCACATGCAACGATGAAGAACAAAACAGAAGTCCTGAAGCAGCGCCCGACCCCTCATCCTCGCTCGGTCTATTTACCAACGGTAAGTTTAGGAGGCTCGGGAAGAACCCCGCTGTCTGTGCGTTTCGCGCTCTTTCAGAGAGCCACGCTGCAAGAAGAACTCTCCGTTGAATTTACACTTCCTCTCCCTCTTCCCAGGTTCCCAAACGCTTCCAGCAGCCGCTGCCAGAAGGGCCCTTCACCTACCTTAGCAGGGCAGCACCCAGGCAACGCTGCCTGCTGGGCTCGGGATGAGCACGCTAAGCTCATTGTCCTCTGCGGGGTTCGTGCCAGACGTCCTGCCGCAGTAAGTCTGTCCCACACCAAAGTGCAACGGCACATTGGTAGATCTAAAATATTTACAATGAGGGGGTATTTTTTTTTTTTTTAATTATTTTTAGAAAACTTTGGAGGGTAGCAGAGGTTTTGGGGAAGCAGCCCAACCTCCAGAGCACCTAACACCAGGAGGAATGACTTACACAGCTATTAGCCAGGAGAAATGCGAGTTCTCGTTAACCCCACTGATGCTTTGAGCTTCAGGACACTCACCTACGTTCCCAAAAGACAAAATGCACCTTATTCTCTATGTCCCCTATCATGCAGTCCTCTAGCCACGACACCCTAGGAAGTGAAATTAAGATGCAGAGTTTTTCCAGTCAGATGTCTTAAAAATACAGCCAGAGCCTTCTCCTTCTATCCACACAGACCGAGAACGATTAGAACACCTCTGCGATTAGTCCAGCTTCCCTTCTCTTTGGGAAGAGGATCTGGAGGAACTAAACAGCCCGGATTGAGGAGAACCTCCCGCTTCGCTCCGACGCCCCTGTCTCTGGCGCCAGCCTGCCTCTGCTGGAGGCGCGCGTGGACAGCGTGGGGCAGGGCCTAGGAAAGCCAGGAGCAAACGCTCGGGTCCAGAGTCAGACAGGGCTCACCCGCCCGAGACTTCGTTTCTCCTGTGCTGGTTTAAACCACGTTTCTCACAGAACCGAAACACCTTTCCCTGCCCTCCTTACACCTTTGCAAATCTCTTAACGTTAGTTCCCAGCCTTTCTCTAAGCCAGCTTCTCAGCTGCTCCGACATGCGTAGGATGTACGCCTTTGCTTTCTACCTCCGCGACTAAGTATTTTACAATTGGTTTGTGATTTGCAAGATTTAAAAAAAAAAAAAAAGGAAAAATAAAAAGGAAAAAAAAGGAAAAAGAAAAAAAAGAGAAAAAAGGGGGAAAAAAAAAAAAGAGAGACAAAAAATCAGCACAGTCAGAAGGTAAGAGTGAACATGAGAAGAAAGAAAACACACACTGTAATAGGGAGAAAGATACAAATTCCAAATGGCATACCATGGAGTTAAGCACTGTACTTTTACCCTCCGAAAATATGGAGGCAGTGGTTCTCCCCCTACTCAGGTACAGGTAGGCTTCAACAGAAAGAGAGAGACTTTATCACACTTGCATCAGAAGCAGATGTTCACCTTTTAATTAAAACAAACTCCTCGAAGTGGTTATATAGGACATCACATCTTTACAAATGCGCAACGATTTAGTATCTCACCGGGTAACACTAACACACGTCTATGCGAGATTCCAGGCATCCAGAAAATATTTTGTATTCAGTTCTTAGGGAACGTTTGCCGTTGCCATTTAAAGTTATCAGAATATACCGAGACGCCCCTGCGCTACGTGCGTGTCGCGTTTTTCTGCGGCAGGCCCCCAAAAGCTCGAAAGCAAAAGGTAAGACTAACCTCCTGTCCGTACGTCACTGACCGAGAAGCCGTCGCCTCATCCATCTCTCCCTCCACCATGGCTCCCTCCAAGCACTCGTTCAAGTTTCGATAACCGTTTACCTGGAGGGGATACTGACCAAAGGCTTCGATCTTGGAAAAAGTGTTGCCTGGATGACGGAAACGACACAGAACCCGTGAACTAACTTAAGAGAACGACAACCTCTGCTTAGCTCAAGAGTTTGTTGCCAGCGCGTTAGAGGCGCTATGGCAAGCGCCGAACGGCGCGCAGCTCTCTGCAGACACGTCTGCCGGGGTCAGCCTCCCGATAAACAACGGCTGCCGTACGCCTGAGCGCCTGCGAGAACGTCATGTTTCCACAAGACAGACTTTACGAGCGTTACGGACAATTTTACCACCGAGAGGAGTATTTGCAAGTTTAAAGAACTAGGCAAGTTCGTCAGGAACGTGCAAGGAAATCCTGTGCCAGCACTGCTAGAAATCAAAACACTCAAGGGCATGACAATGTGAATCCACCAAAGCCTTCACTCACCCTCATGGACACCCTCCGTCAAGAAAGTCCCGTAGAAAAGTTGTACCATTGGGTTTTCAGTTTTGTCCCCCGGACTCCTGTTTCAGAAAGGAAAAGCACGCGCTCAGGCTGCAAAAAAGCCCCAAGTCAGAAGCCAAGCTTTTGCCTGGGAATCTTCCTACGGTCAAACGCAACGTTTCCTGTCCAGGCACAAAATACAGAGGATGCTTCTCATCTGCTTCCATAGCCAAAAGCGCATTACAGCACTTAACCGGCAAGAAGAAGAAAGGCACTACCTTTTGAAATGCAGTTCCAAAACCCCAGGCCTTTCATACAGGCCAGTTCTGTTGAGTTCCCCTAACGAGCTTATCTATTCTGCAGGCCACGCTGGCACTGAATAAAGCCCTATGCTTACGGACAGAAAATGTACATACTTGCAAGCGTATTTGAGCTTGAGGAGCGTCATCCTCAGTAAACAAAACGCCTCTCTCTCGTTCACTCAAAATGTTCACGTAAAGCCCTCTGGGTTACTAAGGCGCTGCGTTTGAAATCTCTTTCTCCTCGGTGTCGGGTCAAACCCCCGAGATCACAGAAAACTCACTTGACATTCACAGCGAGCTGGAACGCATCCTCCAGCCAGTCCAGTAGCTTGTGTGTAAATTCACTCACATCTTGCTAGAAGAGAGACAAAAGCACAGAGTCAAGCGGAATGCCAACCGGAAAGCAAGCGTCTTCGCGGTCTACTGCTTCCACCAACCTACTGGAACGCAGCCCGGCCGGTACTGCTGCACCTACCCAGCCGAAGGAAGCGCGAACCCGAAGCGCTGTGCTGATTTAGAGCGATAATGAACGCGCTGCTCCTCCGAAAACTAGATCGGAGGAAATTACTGTGATCGCTACCCAACTACCCAGATGGCAGCGGGTAGAGCGCCGTTACGCTGGCTGTTTAATTAGCAAGCACGTACATTTCGCCTAAACGACACAGGGACAGCTGCTTGTCAGTTGACAAACATGGGAAGAGGCCTCTGGAAGTAATAGCGGGATGAAGCGAAATAGGATTGCCGTGGCTGCGAGAGCTGTTTTGAAGAAAGCAAAAGGCTTTTTAACGTGGTTTTACCTGCTGTTCTTCAGCGGATCTAAATGCATCCCTCAAGAGTTCCAGCGCCGCAGAAGGGTCTACAAACTTACGACGTGTCCCCAGCATTAACGCAAACAGACACTGGAGTTCTTGCATGAACGCAATGTTTCTTTTTCCCTGCATTGCAAAAAGAGGAGAAGCCAAACCCTTCCTGCAGCTCGGAAAAAGGAGCATCTTAAAACAAACGGCTTAGGGAGTAGGACACGCGCGTGCCTCGGGAGGTACGCCAACCACCAAGGAGAGAGGCCACGTTAAAAAGGACAAAAGCAGAAAGACACGTGGTGCCATTTCGCAGAAGCAACCTGGCCTCCCGATGGATGCACGGGAGAAAAAAAATGAACCTAACCAAACCCACCTCTAGAGCAAAGCGCCACAAGTAATAATTGCTAGAACAGAAGGCAAAACCCAGTGAATTCGGGAATTTATTCCGTCTGCACTTTGGGGTTTTTAGAATATCAGGACCGCACGTGAAAGCAAGGAAGGCAAAGCCTCTTAGATGGCGGTGGCCACAAGCTGGAAGGGTACACCAAGGAAGGATGATTCCATGTACGCCTTTTCTCTAACTATTTTCTGAGCCCCTCCTGCTGACCGCCCCCAGAAGGTGCCGGGGCTAGAGGGACCTTCAGACCAGCTCAGACACCGGCTCTTCTGCGGTGCGTGCAGGCAAACGAACCGTCTGGAGCTCACAAAGATGATTTACAGGACAAATTCCTCCCTGTGTCACTGTTACAAAGAAGCTCTCGAGGAAAGCTTGACGAGAAGCACCTGATCTTTTTCGACAGTGACTCTGCCTTTGAAAAGTATTCCCCAAAACAGTCTTCAGTGCAGCCCGACAGTTTGAAAGCCTCTAACCTAGGACCAGGAGTCTCAGATGGCCCCAAGTTAGATCTGCTTAGAGGAGGAGCAGACCAGTAAACCACAGGAGAGGGAAACGTCACAGCGTTACCCGGCGAAAACTTACAGTGCGACTACGACAACTTTCAAGCACATTTTGCGGGAGGGAGTACCCAAGGACCAGCCTCCGAAATTCCGGCAACTGAAACAGCGACTGAAAGGAAAGGAGAGGGGAAGAGCAGTCAGCGTCTGCGGGGACTTGCCTCGCCGCGAGTCCATGCCCCGTTGTCACTCTTTTACGCGACAGCGCTTCTGTTAACCTCCGAGTCTTCGGTGGCCCTGCGTCACTAAATAAACGCAGTCGGTGTGCCGGACCGGCACGTTCGCGCCCATCGAAGAACAGCACCTCACCCTGCCATCTCTAGGGTACGTACAACCGTTCTGGGGAAGAGTATTCTGTTCTGCATAGGCGAGCTTAGAGGAAGCATCTGGGACCAAGCCACAGCGAGAAAGGAGCCATCTGAAGCTTTCCCACTTCCCTCCAAGCTGCAGACATACGGCTGATTAACGTCTGTCTGCTAGTTAGAAGAGACAAATCTGCTCAGTCCCACTTATTGCTGTCTCTTCTTGTTTAGGTTATCACTAATAACGCATGCTGCCTAGTCGCTTATTCGTTCAGGCATCTATGCCGTTAACTGGAATACGATACACCGTGTCTTCTGGAGCCAGCAACAACTGCAGTAAAATTAAATTTTCAGTTCACTTTGCCAGTCAAGCTTCTGTCACTCAGGAAGCGTTTGGACACCACTGCACCAACCCCCCCCACATACGTACACGCAGATTATACGTATCTGTACCTATTTTTAAGCGGAGCCTGTTCAACCGC